TGTTGGTGATTTTCGATGTACAATCCATGTACACAAACATCTCAGGTGAGAAGGCGGTAAGCGCCTTGATGGAGATTTTGGAGCGAGAAGAGGATATTCTGGAGGCAGAACGCATACGGAAGGAATCGTTAACACGACTGATCAACCTGACAGTAAGTACTACATATTTAACATTTAACGGCAACATCTACAAACAAATATTTGGACTACCGATGGGACATCCACTCTCACCTCTTTTGTCAAATGTGTACATGGACAATTTGGAAAGAGAATTCGGGAAGTCACCATTACAACCAAGAGTCCTAATGCGATACCTGGATGACTACTTTGCGCTTTGGTCACATGGTAAGAAAAATTTGAATTAAACGAGTGGAAATTGACAGAAAGGCTGCTTGCATATGATGGAAATATAATAAAACGCAAGATACCAGAAACACTCGATATCCTGACCAAAAGAGTCCTAATGAGCAGAAGACTTGAAGAAGACAGGATTAGTGAAAACTGCCCAAGCAAACTCGGAGAAGATCAGAGGGGAACAATATCAGCAAAACGAAGACGACAGCACAGAGGTAATAGTTTTTATTTTAATTAAAGAAATTACAGAGGCCAAGTAGGAGCAATCGGAAGTCAAGAGGACACATCCACAATGAGCCTAATCAAAACAAGTAGAACTATTTGGGGGCCAGCATGCAAGAGAAAGTCATAGACTTGACATTAAGGATAGGAGACGACGATAAACGGTGGTGCCTATTTATAGTTGGCTATTAGTAGATAAGTTTGCTCATAGACGTGATTCATGAAGTAAAGGCCTTATCACGAGATTTACTTGGTGCACATGCCGCACAATCATAAGGGAATCTGTAGCGTTAAGTTAGGTTGTCATGCCAATTGAAAATCTAGACCTTAGGGGCTTCTCAAAAAGGCTGGTGTATACGTGCTATCAAAGGCTTGAGGCAGAGTGTAGAACAACGCCATGAGTAGCACGGATACGGTAGCAGCAATAGGGCGAAATAAGTGAAACAGACGGATAAGGGAAGAATCCTAGGGTGTAAGAGGGCGACTCTAATAGGTCCCAAAGGGAGAGGATTTCGAGTAAAACTACAGCCTTGGATCAACATTGCCAGCACAGTGGAAGGGATGTGGGAACCAGTGGGGAGTGTGAATAGACTTAAAATAGATTTAGATAAACAAGAAAGAAATTGTGATAGTGAAGGCGTGATAGCCCAGGGCAGGAGAGATACCACGATTTTTTAGCACACATCTGGTCAAAGGATCGGCTTCACTTGTCTCTGACGCGTTGTAGTGTGGTGCTAAGGATGACCAGACTCACTGACGATACCGACTACGACGCCGGCGAAACGTCTGGGATTGTACCAAGTCCACGGTCCGGCTTTGGAAATTATCGTGCATACAATAGACTCCGGACTAGTTGCGTTTCTCTTGGTCTTCCTGCCAAGTGACCAAGTTGCGAAAACAAGGATAAACAACTTCTATCCTCTTGGACCGAGGAGAGGATATCCTGAACGCAGAGAGGAGCTTGTGTGAATCATAAAAAATTAACTTGCTAACAAGAACAAATAGTTGGACTTCCTAAGGGATCTTCGCTCTCTTATTTTGGCAGACATATACGTAAAACAAAGTAGAAGAGGAATTCGAGACGTAACCGCTGTAATCAGAAGTGTTCATAAGATACATGAATGACATGAATAACACTGGTCTCATGGCAGAGAAAAGTTTGGAATAATTCGTGAAGTTTATGAAAGGGTTGAATTCACAATTGAAGTAGAAGAGGGACGGTTACCCTTGCTGGATGTCGAAGTAATCTGCTTAAATGGGACACTTAAGAGAAGATCATTCGTGAAAAAATCACGTGCCGGAATGATACTTCATTTTTAGTCTCCTTACAATTACAGACGGAATAACGGAATAATGTGGAGCCCAGATATCATAAGTCTAAGATTAACTGACATATATTTTTGGAATGAAGTTTTGATCAAATTGACTAGAATCTGTCTCGGCAACCGATAACCGATAGAAGCATACGGTTCGTGAAAATCAGAATGCATGGTGTGAGTTATGAAAGAAAAATAAAGGTAGAGGGAAACACACAAGATGGGATATGCTTATTGTCCTGTGAAATAATTAATAAACTACGCCAAAATGTTAAGAAAATAGAATATTAAGGCGACCACGAAAGAGTAAACAACACTCTTCACACGCTTACCCACACAACATCAGGGTATATAAATTGGATTTCTCGGGAGTTTGCTGCACAATATGCGGCATTTCCAAGCACAAATATATTGGCAAAACAGGAAGAGAAATCAGCACACGAAGCAAGCGACATCAATGGCTCTACAGAATAATGGATACAGAAAGATCAGAAATAGTGAAACACTTCGCACAGACTGGATACGAGATCAATTGAAAGGCAACAGAACGAAGGGTCTCATATGGTTAGGACACAAGGAAACAGATGAATAGGGATGCTTGCGGAAGGAAATGTATTAAACAGGAGAATGGAAGAAGGCAAAGTTTGTGATAACTTTGCTTATTTCCTAATCAAACTCGGTGGAAACAAGGATACAAGACCGGCAAAAAGAGGATGCCTGGATCAGGGACCTATG